TTCTTTGTATCTCTTTAGCTGCTTTTTGAGATAATACTATAGGTGGGCTCAGTTTCCAGATGTGAACATTAATAGAAAATTGAGAAAATAATCCAACAGATAGGTAATTATTGTGATTATTCCCTGAACTGTTGAAATAACATCTGCTGAAGGTATCTTATGTAGCTTAAATATAGAAGCAACTCTGAAATTACAAGTTGTATAAGACTCTAGCCAACAAATGGTAATTTTTAGCTGTATTTAATCTGTAAAGAAAAATCCTCTATATAAATTATTTTGTATAACATTTTGAATTAGAAAATTTAGCTTCTCTCTCTTTTTCAAAAGAAGAGCTCAGGTAACCATTAGAAGTCTGCTTTTCAGAGGTGGATTTCACAAGCAAAGTTTGTGGTTGGAATTATGACACTGACGTATTTGCTAATGATAGCATGCTGGGAACTACCTGTGTGCTGCCACACTGGAATGCAGTCCATTAGTGTTTTGAACTGCCGCGCTTTGGGACTTTTAATTCTTCACAAATTCTGTTTCCACACTTAATTATGGAAAAGACATGAGAAGAAAGTTGCATAGCCCCTTCTTCATTGATTTCACTGTCAGTGAAAGTAGCAGTTAGCAATTCTTCAAGTTATATTACATCATTCACTTAAAATAATGCACCTCCGTGCTGAGTTTGCTTCAATTAAGTCATATTTTATTTGCTAATGATTTTCCAATCTTGACGATGACCAGTCTACAAAGATGGTATTGTCAATACTTCTTGTTTGTTTGTTTTTAATATCACATCCCTTTAATTTATTTTTATTTTTTGAATTTTACACAGCAGGTTCTTATTAGTTATCTATTTTATACATATTGGTGTATATATGTCAATCCCAATCTCCCAATTCATCCCACCACCAGCTGCCCCCACTTTCCCCCCCTTGGTGTCCATACGTTTGTTCTCTACATCTGTTGTCAACACTTCTTGACATAAGGAGAGTGTTATTTAGAGTTGAGTACGTCAATTTGTTCCTTATTTTCTATCTGTATTTTTAAAAGTCTTTTAAATTAAATTTCCAATTGAACATTAACCTGAGAACTGTAGAGGTTAGTGAGTTAAGTAGTTCACATGGTTTAAATGAAATGAATTTCAGCGTATACACAGGAAAAGGATTTTACTGGTGTCTTGAATGGTGTGTGTTTATGTATGTGTGTGTGCATAGTCTTTCTGCTGGATTACCTTAAGAACTGTTAAACAGTTGACCTGCAAAATCACAATAATTAACCTGAGGAAAGCTTCTTAGACATAATTCTACTTGGATATAATTTCTCCTGAAATGCTGTGTAGAAGAATTACTATAAAATTGTAACTTATACTTTTTAGGGTATAAAAATACAATGTTAAAGATGATTTGTCAAAATGCTGTTTTAAAATACTGATTTTATTTTTACAAATCTATAGGCTATAGTAAATCAATATATTAGATATGCTCCTGCCTGAAATATAGAAAATATCTGGCATATCTAACATGGCTATATTTATTATATAAGAAGAGAGTTCTACATTTATTTCACTACTTACTAAGCCTAAAATCTTCACAATTATGAAACTTTGTTTCATTTCTAAGTAAAAATAAAGTATGAGTGAAAAAATTTTCGCTTTCTGCCATCAAAACTGTGAATGTACTTTTAAAATCCATGCATCTATTAAGTAATTTCATTTGAAAGATGGTCTAGAACACTTATTTTAGCAAAACAGTGTTGCATGGCTGATCATTCTTTCCTTTCCTGAAGCTCTGTGGGGTGCAGCAGTCTTCAGAGCTGTCATTGACCCAAAGGAATGGGCTGCTTTTCAGCTACTCTAGTGGATGCCATGGTTTCTTCCAGGACTCCTCTACTACCATCTGCTGCTCTGCTGGACATGTCAGTCTGTGCTATTTTTCTGTGCTGTTCTGCTAGTTGTTTTGGTGTTTGTCTCTGCACCCCCAGACCCAAAGCCTTTGGATGATCTGACTGCCTTATTTCCTTTTGTGTTACACTCAGAAGTGCTAAAGCAGTGTATACCCTATGCGTTAGAGAGATTGGTAGGATAGCCCTTTCAATTTTTATTCATAGCTCTGTTCCTCCTAGGACTGACAGGGGTCTGGGCTTGGGGATCGTATATAAACTAGACAACCTATTTATAACAGTAACAACAATAATAATAATATCAGTGTCTTACTTTGATTTGGTGCTTTGTAGTGTTATAGCTTCATAGTGTGTTAAAGCTGATCAGTGAAGAGGGGAAATACCTCTCTGCTCTTTGTGTTGTAGTTCATTAGAAGGAATCTGCATATCAATAAGCTAAGCACATTAAGACCACTTACAGTGCTGGAAGTATTCCTGGTGGGAATAAGGATTAATGCTTTTTATTTATGTAACAAGTTTTCCCAGGCTTTATTGGATTGTGGGTACTACAGAGAGTCACAATTATGTCAGTAACTCAAATATATGTATGTTGTCTCCTCCTGTTGATGTGGTAGACCTCCAGCCTTCCGCAAAGTTCCCCTTCACAGGGGCTTCTAGAAGGGCTGTCTCAACTATGCTTCTGAATAAGTCTGTTTCCACTGAGACAGCTTCTGTTCCCCCAGGCAGTTCCGTCTCTTGCCAGGTGGTGCTCTCTGCTGGGCATTTCCACCCATATACTCCATCAGAGCGAAAGCTGCGTGATGAGCTGAGGTGAAGCTGGGGGGGATAGTGCTCTTCTCTCTTTGTTTTATACTCTATTAGATAGAATGCTCTAAAAGTAGTATTGATTTTTACCAGTGTTTTAATGAAATGTCTTTTAGATTTTTATCATAGCCCTTTTGCACTCTACAGAACACAGGCATAAATCCAGTGGGGGATTATCTGTTAGAAGGCAAATTCAGTCAACAGAAAATACTCAGTAGTTAGCATTGCCACTCTTTTGACAGTAAGATTTTCTAACTGGGTGTGGGTTACCATGATCAGCTGCTTCCCATAGGAATAGTTTTTGTGTTCACCTTCTGGTTGATTGCTCTATTCACTAGATGTTCCAAAGTATGTCTGAATCTTATTTGGACATAGCTAGTAACTCCCTGTTTCTGTACCCTCAGCTGCAACATCCTCCATCACCCAAGCAAGGAACAAACAAGGAGATTTACTAAAATTGAAGCAGGAGAAACCTTTAGAAAACCTGTAATTCAGTTTCTCTTTGAGATTGCCATCTATGATAAAAGAATCAAGAAAGGTCCCATTTCACTTCACGCAAACATCAAAGTTCTGTCAGAGATCGTGTTGGCCCCTGTTTAATTCTTTAAGGTCAGGTGGTGTAAAAGGGAAAGTTTAGTTGTACTGTGTTTGTATTTTATAATATTTGAGGGCTAGTTGTTAATGTTAAGTTCTAGGAAGTAAAAGGTGTTTTCACATAGTAGGGAATTTTAGTTCTGTACCAGATTATTTTTGGATTTTGTTGTGCCATCCCAAAGCTTTCTAGAGTGGTGCCTTTCTAACTAGGAAGTCCTTGTTAGGAGACAGTGGCAGTGCTTCCAATTTATTTCCAACCATCCATGGCAAGAATGGAATGAGTTTTTGCATTCTTTCATCACTTCGTGTAATGGCACTGGTGCAAATAAATCTGTAAGGTTATTAGTAGTTTTGAGAATTGCTCCCTACTCACTACCCATGAGTCCATCCTTACCTCTAGTTTCTGTCTTTCTGGGGATGTTAATAGGGTTCAGCTGAGGTTCTTTTCACGTGCAGTGAGATCTTTTTCCAGTTCTAGTCTCTGCTGTACTATATTTTCCAGAAATTCCTTGAAGTGGAACGTGAATGATACCTTCTCTTAGTTTCTAGTACTAATAATTTACATCTATTTTATACGCTTCTTCTGAGATTCTGGTGGGAGGGGGGCAGATGTGGGTTTGATTCACCAATCTGAACTGGAATTATGCTTTCTAATCATTTAATTGCTATTTATTTCATTAATATTGTTTATAATGGTAATTGAGAGAGATTGGTTCCACTATTCAAGAATAGTAATGGTCACCTAGAACAACTGATATACTGTTTTATGCAGTTAAACTATCAGTTTATGTTACTGGGATTTTATTCAATTTATATATTAATTGGTTTAATAATCCATGCCTATTTTAAAGCTATATTTTTACAAATATGAATTAAAAGTAAGTGAAATAGACTAGAGTTACCATCAGTTAAAAAAGTAAGATTTTATAAATTTCTTAAATGATTGCTCAATTTAGAATGTATTAGGTCAACACAAGAATTCCTATGAGATGCTACTGTTCGTGTTTCATACTTTATTCTTTTATTAGTTTCTAATGAAAGCAGGTGTTTTAACTTCTCTAAAGTGAACTCTTTAGTGAGTCATGCTTATTGTATGACTGTGAAGGAAGATGATTGCTGATTTCTTTTGTCACAAATGACTTCTTTGGTATTAAAGTACTGATCCTGACCTCAAACATTAACTATGAAATGATTTGGGGGTAGTGTTTAATTTTTGTCATATATTTGTTACTCTATGAAAACTTTACATGAATATCTTCTGCACTTACTAGGTGATTAGAAGTTATCTAGTATCTGTTGGTAATGTTTGAATTTTAATTTCTTAAAATTAATTTCTACTTAATTAAGTCATTTTTGTTAGGCTTTCCCATTCCCTAAATCATGCAATTCTGCCCTTCCTCCCCTTTTTAAATGATGAGCTAATTTTCATTGCCCTTAAGATTTTAGATTGTTGAGTGTACTGCCAAGAGCAAAGTTGTTCATATTGGTTGAGGATATACTAAACTAGAGGCCCTTCTCTGGGAATCCTGGTTGACTCAGGAGTGGGATGGGGCACAGAGTGATACTCTTGAGATGTATCAAGGAAGAGTCTAGCATTTACCAGTGGAAACTCCTTGACTAAGGCTACCCTTGCTTTAGACTTAAGTAAAGTTAAACATTGTTTCATGATTTATTTAAATTGTCTCTCGTCTTCACTTTTTTTTTTTTTTTGTGAGGATTTTTCCAATGTAACTTTGAAATACAAGGGGATGCATTTTGGCAACTCTTTGGGAAGACTAGAGTTACCTGTAAAGTCAGGGCCTGGTCCTGGACAGTATGATATAACCCAGTAAGTAAAAAAATAGTATATCTTTACTGTAGTTTTTGACTATAAATATTCTAATAATTTAGACTAGGTTATGCTGTTATGAAAGGAAAAATCAGTATGAAAAACTTCAAGAAATATGATATTTTAGAGTAATCTATATGAAAACCATTGCTTTTCTGTCTGCCAGATCCTGTGCTACCTGTTTTACATGTATTAGTTCATTTATCTTCACAAGTCTCTGTGTAGTTACTATTGTTATGCCTATTTTATCAGTGAAAAATAAAAGGGTCAGAGAGAATAAATAATGTATTTAATATTATGTAGCTATTAAGTGGCAGAGCTTGACGTTGACTGAGGCCTTTTCGGTTCTACAGCCCATGTATCTAAGTACTAAAATATACTGTCTTTAATTACAAGATAGAGAAAAGATCAGAGAAAATATAAAAGAAGGTGACCCAGGGCTCTGCATCTTGTTCCTGGCTCTGGTGTCCATTCTTTTGACTACATGCTGGATTTAGAAGGCATTCTCAGTATAAGTCAGAGCCATAACATTAGGTTGAAGGTAATATTTATGAAGTCTAACTAGGAAATACATTTCTTGTAAAATAATTCTTTCTGTCTTTATTTTCTCCTACTTTTACAGTAAGGTCTTAGACATGAGTCCATGGAAGGCAAAACTGAGTAACAGATATCATGTTGTTCTCAGAATCTATTGCTGCTTTTCATGATTTAATTTTTAACAGGTTCCAGTTTATCTGCCTGATCCTTTCTCTCTTATAGGATGAGTTTTCTAGCAGGAAGTCCCACAGTGATTACCTATCCAATTAATTTGCTAGACAGATTCAGACACATCTGTATACCAGCAGTGGATGTAGCTTAGGCTCTTACTTGAACTCCCCTACTACTATTCATTCATTGAACAAACGTTGTTTGAATTCTTGCTATGTCTTAGTACTAAACTTAGTAACTAAGAATAAAAAGAATAAAACATGGCCCTTGTTTTTGGGAATTTATACCCTATTCTATTGTCCTTTTCATTTTTTCACTCTCCTAATTTGGGTGATATGCCATGTATTTTAATTGTTTTAGTAGTTACACTAGAAGTTTAACATGTATATACAGCTTAATGGGATCTAAATTTAATCTTTGTCATTCCAAATAAAGTCTGTCAAATGCTCTAACTCTACTCATCCCCTTGACATAATGCTTTTGTTAGTATTTTACTCTTATCTTTTTCTTCCAGTTTGGCTGGTTTGCTTTCCTATCTGCCTGCCTGCTTGCCTGTCAGTTTTATTGAGGTTTAATTAACATTAAGCAAAATTAACCCTTTTTAGGGTATGTGGTTCTGTGATGATTGTTTTCCATCCATTCCACTACACGTCTAACTAAGTACCTGAGGCATGACCAGCACTCTGTCTAATTCTATTGCTCTGATTTTGCTTGATAGTTTTTTCCTGACAGTCCTTTTTACTTCTCCAGCCCTGTCCCACTCCCATTCTCCTCCTATTTTTTTTTTTTTAATAAGTGTCTGTCTGACTTTATTTTTTATTTTTTTGGTCACACCGCACGGCTTGCGGGATCTTAGTTCCCCCACCAGGGATTGAACCCAGACTCACACCAGTGAAAGCATGGAGTCCTAACCACTGGACCCGCCAGGGAATTCCCTCTTCTCCTTTTTTTTAAATGTTTCTTTCTCTTTGATCTTTGTTATTTCCATTGTTTCTTCTTTCCTTTTGTTTGTATTTTCACTTTTGCTGGTAGGAATGTATGCATATAGATTGCATTCCTAATTGCATCAGATATTTCATCATTTCCGTAATTTGCTCTTTGGTTTTGCTGCCTTCACTGTCTTTTATTTGGACTTGTCTTGGATCCTTCTGGTAGTTGATATTTTCTACCTTTTGTTTATTGATTGAGTTATAATTGTGGATTTGATATGGTATAAAAATGGAAATGCTTGGGTATTTCGAATGGAAAGATGAGCTCATAGGTTTCTTTTTGGGAAAACACAGACCTAAACGATATGTGACCCTTTTGATATCCCAAATATAAATTTTTTATCCATAAAACTATTTGAGGTTTTGAAAATAAGTTCATTTGTTGAATTTTGTGCAAAAAAATCAATGAAGTCAGCATTTGACAGTGAACTGAGATGTTATATGCATGTTTAAATCATAGTAATGTCTAAACAAGCAAAAAAATGGCAATTATGTAACTTAAACATTTGTTTTTATGTTTTTATATTACCTTTTTTTTAAACTTCTTATGTTCAGTATAGTTCACTGGAAGTGTTTAATATGACTTTTCAAATTCTTTTTAAGAATTAGAAAAAAGTAACCTATTTAAATATAATTCCTAATAATAGCTAACAGTTATTGTATACTTACTATGGGTTTTGTATAGCAGTAAATACTTCACATATATTATCCACTTTAATCATTACAACCTTAGAATTGGTTAATACTATTTCCAATCACAGATGAAGAATCAAATCTGAAGTTTAGAGAGGGTGAGTGATTTGTGTAAGGTCACATAGCTAGTAGGCAGCAATGTTAGGATTCATATCAGGCTGTCTGACTCCAGAGCTTGGGCTGTTATTCACTGCTTACTTGGTTTATTATTCTTACTTGTGTAAATTTCAATGAAAATAAGCTTCCCTTTCATTTTCGAAGATCTTTCTTTATGCCCTTTTCCTGATTGTTTTATGATATAAATAGCATTGACTATTTTCCCCTTATTTTAGTTAATAGTTGAAATACCAAGTGATTTGAAATTTTAAAGACCTTTTATGGTGAATAAACTACACGGGAAAGTATTTTTGGTAGCTTTTTATTTAAATTCATGACATAAATCCCACATTTTGTTTTCTTTTTGGAATCATTATTAGAATAGGTATATTTTAATGCTCTGAATTGGAAAACGCAGATCTAACCAATATAAATGAATAGATCTGACAGAGTTTAGGATATATTGGCCTAACACACCCAGATATCTTATTGAATACTTTTTAAGCAGGAAGTGGTATAAAAATATTCTCTTAACTTATATAGACATTTATATATTTGAAATTGAGAATAATTTTTTTCTGAATTTTCTAAAGGAAAAAGGCACTACATTATGAAAATATTAACATCAAGAAAGATCAACAGCAAAATCATTGCTCAAATCTCCCATGACTTTATGAAGTAATAATATTGCAGGAGGAAAAAAAGGTAAGTGGAAAAGTAACTGTTTCATCTACTTCCTAGATTTTAGGTCATTGAATCTTATTATCACACAGAGTACTCGTCTACTGTTCCTCGTAGGTAGTTGTCACTCTGAATTTTGTGGAAGGAACTGAGGAACTGTGTTTAAAATTTCCTTCAAGTTGATTGCTGTCTCTGCTTGAACACCTCTTGTGATAAAGAACTCAATACCCCTGAGGTTTCTTGTTTCAGTAGTGGACTACTCTGTTTCTTACAATTTCCTTCTTAAACTGACCTAACTTTAGCTGCTTGTTGTCTATTTATTCTCCCTTTTCCTATGACTTCTTTTAAATCTCCCTTTAAATCTTTTCTGGTAAGGATAAATGTTCTAAATATCTTTGACTATTCTCAGTATTTAGCTTCAGGATAACTTATTTTCCTTTGACGTTATCTAGGGATCTTCGTTAGTTTTTGAATCTTTCTCTCCTTAAAATATGATTTTGAGAACTAAGAATAATATTTTTGGTGAAGTCTGGTTAGTACATAGTAATACTTTTATCTTCATTGTTCTAGGTAGTGTATATTTATTAATATAAAAATCTAAATGCCATTAAATATTTTTTGTAGCTATGTTTCAGTTTAATTATTTGGAACTTGTAGGCACAAAAACCTGGGATTTTTTTCCTCTAGTATATTTAAACTTAAAAACTTGAAGATTATAGGATAAACATTTCAAAATGGATCATTTAGAGTAAGGATAAATGACTCTCAGTTGAGAAATCAGTGAGTATTTCAATAAGAATTTTCTCTGTCTTCCCCTGAATGTTAATCAGCAAGGAAAAATATTGCTTATAGAACTATTAGAAAAAGATACAATAACAGAGTAATACGATGCAATTGTTTTCATAGAATAACAATTATAAATCTCAAACAAGATAAAAAGTGTTAATTTAAATCATGAGAGGTACTGGTTTATGGTTTTCTTGTAATGTGTTTGTCTGGTTTTAGTATTAAGGTAATGCTGGCCTCATAAAATGAGTTAGGAAGTATTCCCTGTGCTTATATCTTCTGAAAGAGATTGTAGAGATTGGTATAATTTTTTCCCTTAAATGTGTGGTAGAATTCACCAGTGAATCCATCTGGGTCGGGTGCTTTTTGTTTTGGAAGGTTATGAGTTATTGACTTGATATCTTTAATAGGCAGAGGCCTATTCAGATCATCTATTTCTCCTCATGAGAATTTGGGAGATTGAGTCTTTTAAGGAATTGGTCCTTTCATCTAGGTTATCAAATTTATGGGCATAGAATTGTTCATAGTATTCCCTTATTCTTTTAATGCATATGGGAACTGTAGTGATGTCCCCTCCTTCATTTCTTTTTTTTTTTTTTTGTGGTATGCGGGCCTCTGACTGCTGTGGCCTCTCCTGTTGCAGAGCACAGGCTCCGGACGCACAGGCTCAGTGGCCATGGCTCACGGGCCCAGCCGCTCCACGGCATGTGGAATCTTCCCGGACCGGGGCACGAACCCATATCCCTTGCACCGGCAGGCAGACTCTCAACCACTGCACCACCAGGGAAGCCCCCGCTCCTTCATTTCTGATATCAGTAATTTGTATCCTCTCTCTTCTTTCTTAGTTTGCCTGGCTAGAGGTTTATAAATTTTTTTTTGAATTTTATTTATTTTTTTATACAGCATGTTCTTATTAGTTATCCATTTTACACATATTTGTGTATACATGTCAATCCCAATCTCCCAGTTAATCACCCACCCCCTGCCTCTGCTTTCCCCCATTGGTGTCCATATGTTTGTTGTCTACATCTGTGTCTCAATTTCTGCCCTGCAAACCAGTTCATCTGTACCATTTTTCTAGGTTCCACATATATGCGTTAATATACAATATTTGTTTTTCTCTTTCTGACTTACTTCACTCTGTATGACAGTCTCTAGATTCACCCACGTCTCTACAGATGAACCAGTTTTGTTCCTTTTTATGGCTGAGTAATATTCCATTGTAAATAGGTGCCACATCTTCTTTATCTATTCGTCTGTTGATGGGCATTTAGGTTGCATCCATGGTCTGACTATTGTAAATAGTGCTGCAATGAACATTGGGGTGCATGTGTCTTCTTGAATTACTGTTTTCTCTGGGTATATGCCCAGTAGTGGGATTGCTGGGTCATATGGTAATTCTATTTTTAGTTTCTTAACTAACTTCCATACTGTTCTCCATAGTGGCTGTATCAACTTACATTCCCACCAACAGTGGAAGAAGGTTACCTTTTCTCCACACTCTCTCCAGCACTTGTTGTTTGTAGACTTTCTGATGGTGCCCATTTTAAGTGGTGTGAGGTTATACCTCATTATAGTTTTGATTTGCATTTCTGTAATAATTAATGATGTTGAGCAGCTTTTCATGTACTTCTTGGCCATCTCTATGTCTTCTATGGAGAAATGTCTATTTAGGTCTTCTGCCCATTTTTGGACTGGGTTGTTTCTGTTTTTAACATTGAGCTGTATATATATTTTGGATTAATCCTTTGTCCATTGATTTGCTTGCAAAAATTTTCTCCCATTCTAAGGGTTGTCTTTTCGTCTTGTTTGTAGTTTCTGTTGCTTTGCAAATGCTTTTGAGTTTCATTAGGTCCCGTTTATTTTTGTTTTTATTTCCATTACTCTAGGAGGTGGATCAAAAAAGATCTTGCTGTGATTTATGTCAAAGTGTGTTTTGCCTATGTTTTCCTCTAAGAGTTTTATAATGTCTGGTCTTACATTTAGGTCTCTAATCCATTTTGAGTTTATTTTTGTTTATGGTGTTAGGGAGTGTTCTAATTTCATTCTTTTACATGTAGCTGTCCAGTTTTCCCAGCACCACTTATTGAAGAGAGTGTCTTTTCTCCATTTTATATCCTTGCCTCCTTTGTCATAGATTAGCTGACCATAGGTGCGTGGGTTTATCTCCGAGCTTTCTATCCTGTTCCATTGATCTATATTTCTCTTTTTGTGCCAGTACCACATTGTCTTGATTACTGTAGCTTTGTAGTATAGTTTGAAGTCAGGAAGTTTGATTCCTCCAGCTCCGTTTTTTCCCCTCAAGACTGCTTTGGCTATTCGGGGTCTTTTGTGTCTCCATACAAATTTTAAGATTTTTTTGTTCTAGTTCTGTAAAAAAATGCCATTGGTAATTTGATAGGGATTGCATTGCATCTGTAGATTGCTTTGGGTAGTATAGTCATTTTCACAATATTGATTCTTCCAATCCAAGAACATGGTGTATCTCTCCATCCGTTGGTATCATCTTTAATTTCTTTCTTCAGTGTCTTATAGTTTTCTGCATACAGGTCTTTTGTCTCCTTTGGTAGGTTTATTCTTAGGTATTTTATTCTTTTTCTTGCAATGGCAAATGGGAGTGTTTCCTTAATTTCTTGTTCAGATTGTTCATCATTAGTGTATAGGAATGCAAGAGATTTCTGTGCATGAATTTGGTATCCTGCAACTTTACCAAATTCATTGATTAGCTCTATTAGTTTTCTGGTGGCATCTTTAGGATTCTCTGTGTATGGTATCATGTCATCTGCAGACAGTGACAGTTTTACTTCTCCTTTTCCAATTTGTATTCCTTTAATTTCTTTTTCTTCTCTGATTGCTGTGGCTAGGACTTCCAAAACTATGTTGAATAATAGTGGTGAGAGTGGACATCCTTGTCTTGTTCCAGATCTTAGAGAAAATGCTTTCAGTTTTTCACCATTTTGAACAATGTTTGCTGTGGGTTTGTCATATATGGCCTTTATTATGTTGAGGTAGGTTCCCTCTATGCATACTTTCTGGAGAGTTTTTATCATAAGTGGGTGTTGAGTTTTGTCCAAAGTTTGTTCTGCATCTATTGAGATGATCATATGGTTTTTGTTCTTCAGTTTGTTAATATGGTGTATCACATTGATTGATTGGCGTATATTGTAGAATCCTTGCATCCCTGGAATAAATTGCACTTGATCATGGTGTATGACCCTTTTAATGTGTTGTTGGACTCTGTTTGCTAGTATTTTGTTGAGGATTTTTGCATCAATATTCATCAGTGATATTGGTCTGTAATTTTTTTGTAGTATCTTTGTCTGGTTTTGGTATAAGTGTGATGGTGGCCTCATAGAATGAGTTTGGGAGTGTACCTTTCTCTGCAATTTTTTGGAAGAGTTTGAGAAGGATGGGTGTTAGCTCTTCTCTAAATGTTTGATAGAATTCATCTGTGAGGCCATCTGGTCCTGGACTTTTGTTGGTTGGAAGATTTTTAATCACAGTTTCAATTTCATTACTTGTGATTGGTCTGTTCATATTTTCTGTTTCTTCCTAGTTCAGTCTTGGAAGGTTATACCTTTATAAGAATTTGTCCATTTCTTCCAGGTTGTCCATTTTATTGGCATAGAGTTGCTTGTAGTAGTCTCTTAGGATGCGTTGTATTTCTGCGGTGTCTGTTGTAACTTCTCCTTTATCATTTCTAATTTTATTGACTTGAGTCCTCTCCCTCTTTTTCTTGATGAGTCTGGCTAATGGTTTATCAATTTTGTTTATCTTCTCAAAGAACCAGCTTTTAGTTTTATTGATCTTTGCTATTGTTTTCTTTGTTTCTATTTCATTTATTTCTCCTCTGATCGTTATGATTTCTTTCCTTCTGCTAACTTTGGGTTTTGTTTGTTCTTCATTCTCTAGTTCCTTTAGGTGTAAGGTTAAATTGTTTGAGATTTTTCTTCTTTCTTGAAGCACGCTTGTATTGCTATAAGCTTCCCTCTTAGAACTGCTTTTGCTGTATCCCATAGGTTTTAGGTTGTCATGTTTTCATTGTCATTTGTCTCTAGGTATTTTTTGATTTCCTCTTTGATTTCTTCAGTGATCTCTTGGTTATTTAGTAACGTATTGTTTAGCCTCCATGTGTTTGTGTTTATTACGTTTTTTTCCCTGTAATTTCTAATCTCATAGTGTTGTGGTCAGAAAAGATACTTGATATGATTTCAATTTTCTTAAATTTACTGAGGCTT